CAAGGTTTTTCCTATGCATATATTAAAATCACAAATGATTCTTGATAGGCAATAGCAGATATAATTTTGTTTGATTATCCTCTGGTTATTAATACAAAAGTAGGACATAAGACACAGAGATATATGTATTCTCTTTTCTTTTTTTCTTTTTTTGGCTAGGCAATAGGGTTAAGTAACTTGCCCAGGGTCACACAGCTAGTAAGTGTTATGTGTCTGAGGCCAGATTTGAACTCAGATCCTCCTGAACCCAGGGCCAGTGCTCTATCCACTGCACCACCTAGCTGCCCCTGATATATGTATTCTTGCCAAAGACTCTTGCCACTGTCTTGAAGGATGTCCAGAGCAGAATGCAAACATAAAAGGTATTGCCTATAGATACTAAAGTCCTCTAGGTGCTCTTATTTATGGATGATATTGAATTGATTGCCTCAATCCCCAGAACATTGCAGACCCTTCTAAATAAACTATATAATCACCCAAAAGAGTTTGGCTGAACTATTCACCTAGGAAAAACTGAGTAGATGAAAAATACTTATTTCCAGATTTCAATATACAGCTGCATGAAAAGACCATAGTGCCATTCTATTGGACCATATGTCTTGAACAGACATGGCAGATGGACAGTGAACTGAGTTAGGACTAAACAGAAGGAAAATAGTAGGTTAGATTCAACTTAGGAAGTTTCGTAGCAATTTGGATGACCCTAACTTTCTCTGTAAAACAAAGGCCTATCTTTTTTTTTTAACACCAATATTCTTACAATAACATTGCATGGTTTCAAAGGATAGAAGACCTCTACCAACAATTAACTGAAGGAAAATAATGAGTGAAAAATATCACCAAAAAAGATGTATAGTTGGAAAAGAATGGGCTAATCATGCAGCACGGGATAACAGGTGAACATCTCGCACTGTTACCCATATAATGTAAAGAAAATTACAGGAAGTCCCATAACATACAGGAATTATTTGCAAGAGGACATAGGCAAAAGTCATGCAGGATGAGAAGGTATAGATGAATTTTTATTTGTACCACTGGAGGAAGTGCCTGAAATTATGAGATCACAGATCCGTTTAACAAATATATATATATATGTTTCATGGGCATATATGCATATATGTATATATATCCATGCAAATAAGTATGCATGTATGAGTGTGGCCACAATGCATAGAAAACAGAAAGGCCTGGTTCAAGTTTGTCCCCTGATGCTTCCTGGCTATGCGACTCTGGACTGGTTGTTTTATCTTTCCATGTTCCAGGTAACTTTCTAAGACTATATTGCAGATCTGTACTGGTGGAGGGAGTTACTTCACTAGCAGGAATTTCCCACACCAATGAAATCACATGTCCGAATAAAAGACACATCCATGCATGCATGTATGCATATGTACATGCATTTGTGTGCATGCATAATTATACCTCACAGGGATGTTTAAAGGGTCTTGCCTCATTACAGACAAAGCAATACAACTTTGGAGTCCCTAAATACTAAAGATAATAACAGTAATTCCTGTGTGAGAACAAAAATGAAGAGAAGGTAGATTTTAAAAGTTCCTTGGTGGAACATCAAAGCCTAAAACAGAGGAGGCCTTTTCCATGGTGGAATATACCATAAAATCTCTGATCATCCTTCAGAGAGTCACAGGGCTAAAAAGAACTTTCAGAATAGTCTATGGTTACATCACACGCTAAAGTTTTCAAAGTGTTTCACCCACAGTATTTCATCCCAGAGAACAGGAACATTGTCAGGCAAATATGTCAGAGGCAGCTTGGCACACTAGAAAAATCACAGGTTCTGGGTATAAGAAAACCCGAGTTCAAATTCTACCTCTGATAGCTAACAACTCTATGAATTAAGGTAAGCCAGTTAAGCTCCCTAGGCCACAATTTCTCACCTTAAAAATGCAGAAGTTGGAACAGATGATCTCTGAGTTGTCCCTTCTAGAAGTATGATCTTAAATCTGGGGTTTTTACCCCAGGACTGCAAATCTGTTGTTTGAAATATTTTGATACCTGCATTTCAATATCATTGGTTTCCTTTATAATCTTTTGTATTTTATTGTACACATTTAAAAACATCATTCTAAGAAAGGGTCCCAAGGTTTCACTAGCTTGCCAAAGGGATTCATGACACACACAAAAATTTAGAACTCCTGCCTTAAATATATTTTTTATGTCTCCTTCTCCTCCTTCCCCACCTTCCCTTCCCTCCCACAGTACCAAGACAATTTTAAGTATATCCATAGTAGGCTTTAAATTCAAGTCAGTTCACATCAACTAATATTTATCAAACTCCTCTGGATGGTCAAGGTGTCAGAAGGAATCTTTGTAACTATTCTCTATTCAAACTATATGCATTCATTTTTATGTACATAGTGTTTTGGACTGCTCATATACACCTATATTCGCTCCCATACGTGTATTTAAATTGTTTACTTTTCCTTTTATTTTTTTTCCTCACTGTGTCCATTAACACAGAAAGGACACTAGGGCACATAGTTCTATATTGTCAAAAGTTTAGCTCCAACTAAAACCAGACAAAGCATGTGGGGAAGGGAAGGGGAGGAAGAGAGGGTAATCCTGCCTCTGATACTTTGGCTATATACAGATACTTAATATGCATATCTTGTTGAATTGAACTAACTTAAATTCAAAAAACTTGTATGTATGTATGTATGTATGTATGTGTGTATGTATGTATGTATGTATATACACATACACACACATACATAAGTGTGTGTGTGTGTGTGTGTGTGTGTGTGTGTATGTGCCTAACACTATCCTGAGTGTTGTGGAAATTATAAAAAGAAACATTTAAGACAAGGATTCTTAACCTTCCTATGGATCATGGACCCAAAGTCCTTCTCAGAATAATGTTGTTAAATGAATAAAATAAAATACATAGGATTTACAGAATAAGCCAATTAAATCAAAATAAAGTTATCAATTTAAAAAAATAACAAATTCACGGACACCAAGTTAAGAATATATAACATATTTTTCTTACACACATACATACATATATTGTGTGCTAGGTTCTGGGAATACAAAAGACAAATATGAAAGGGCCCTGTTCTCAAGAAGATTGAAATATAATTAGGGGAAAAATGAGGACGCAAATAACTATGATACAAGAGAGAGTGAGATAAGGGCAAAGGAGAGATTCTGACAGTTTTAAGAGAAATTTGAGATGGAAGAGATCCTTTGATCACTTTCACCTGGGTCATCAGAGAAAACTTTTTAAATAAGTGCTTGTTCATTGCTTTGTAGAGGAATTGGAATCTGAGTGGAATCTTGAAAGAAGGGAAGGTCAACAGTAAATGCAGGTGGGAAAGGGCAGGGAAGGGAATGCATTCTGGGGAGTGGGGGAATGCCCAAAGTGAGTGAAGACAGAGGTAGAAAAGGGCAGGACAAGAACAGAGGATGAAGGTTAGTCCAGATTGACAGGAATGCAGGCTCTAGGAGGAGGATTTGAATGAGATAAGAAAGAAGAGGTAAAATTGAGCCAAACTTTACAGGGCTTTGAATGCCAGAATCTGGCATTTATGCTTTATTCCGTATGCAATGGGAAGCCATTGAAGTCTTTTGAATAGAGTAGTGACATCATAGAAATGTAGTGGAAGATTACTCCAGCAGTGTGGGGGAAGATTGATTGGATAGAGAACCTATTGAAGGCATGAACACTATGAAAGATGCTACTGTAACAACATAGGCAAAAAGAAATGACAGCCTGAATGAGGGTGGGTGCAGGAGATAGAGATTGAGAGGCAGAAACAACAGGACTTGGCAAATGAATCAGATGCTTGGGGTGAAGGAGAAGGAAGAGTCAAATCAGATATGACTTCAAGGTAATGAGTTTGGATAATGCTCGTTATCATTAAAAAAAAATTGGAGAAATCGAAAAGGAGGCAAAGTTTTGGGGAGAAATAATTAGCTCATTTTAGACATGTTCATTTTGAGGTGCCAGCTGGTCATCCTAATAAAGATATCCAGCAGGCAATTGGGAATATGGGTCTATAGCTCTGGGGAGATGTTGGTGCAAGACAAATTTGGCCATCATCTGTCTAAAGGGGGCAATTGAAACCAAGAGAGGGTTCAAAATCACTCAGAGAGAGTGTGGAGTGGGGCAGCTAGGTGGAGCAGTGGATAGAGCACTGGTCCTGGATTCAGGAGGACCTGAGTTCAAATCTGACCTCAGACACATAACACTTACTAGCTGTGTGACCCTGGGCAAGTTACTTAAGCCTATTACCTAGCCAAAAAAGAAAAAATAAAAGAGAGTGTGAAGTGAGAAGAAAAGAGGCAGGGTTGGTATCTATTTACATTCAAGGGAAGAGAAGAAAATGAGGCTCCTGAAATAGGAACAGTGGAGTAGCCTGAAAGGTAGAAGAAAAACCATGAACCTATAGTATCTCAGAAGCCCACTGGAGGAGAAGATATAAAGAAGGGAGTCAGAATGGGAAAAGCAGTTCAAAGTCTCTCATGTCATAGGTCAATGATGATAAGGACCTAAAAACGTTGATTTTAGTGATAAGGAGGTCTTTAGTGATCTTAGTGTGGTGACTGGGTGATTGGGATGGAAGCAAGTTGTCAAAGGGTCAAGGACAGAATAGTAAGCGAGGAAGTTTAGGCAGCAAAGTGTACACAAACTGTTGTTTCTAGGAGTTTGGCTACGAAGGAAGGGAGAGGTAAAAAATAATAGTCTGAGGCATCCTAGGAATATTTGGATCAAATTAGGCTCCCATGTTGATTTTTCGGGCAGAATAGGAGATTCTCTGGAGTCCATGATATTATTCACCACTTTGGGGTTCATTTTAAACGTACAAAAAATTAAAGTAGGAGTAAAAGCACTCATTAATCCTCTTTTCCCACTCCCCCCCCCTCTTAATGAGTATATTTATAAGATCACATGATGTCTATTGTTAGCAAGTTGCTGCTAAGGGAGGAGTTTAAAGCCACAGGGAAACCCAGTTGAAGCTGTTGGGCTTTGCCTGGACTACAGGCATTGGGAGCTCACTCCTAGGCCCTTACCCACCCTGTAATTGACCTGGTTTATGAGTATTAGAAGCCACTGGAGGCTGAGTAGTTAAGCCATGTTTCTCTTTATTTCTTTTATAAATAAAAACCAAATGTATATGAATTAAAACCAAAGGATCTTGGGATTAGCCAAAGTGTCAAAGAAACTAGTGTTGCTGTGGAAACGTGTTAGCTCAGGGATCAGGGGCTGGGGAGGGGAGATGTGCATATAGGTTTGAACATCTGCCTACAAGAAGAGCATGTTTGCTGATATATGTTGAGGGAAATATAACCAATTATGTGCTCAAGACAAAGCTTAAGGGCCCCTGTTGCTACCTCTTTTTGCCCACCTCTTCTTGCCCTTTTTTTTATTATCCACATCTTGTTTGACTATTTTTGGTGACAGATCTTTTATTGTCTTAAGGAAGTAATTACTATAAGTGGAAAAAACACTTTTAATTCTGTGACACAGTTAAATGCAAGCTCTTAATGTTCATTCATAAGATTACAATCAAGCCTCTAGATGTAGATTATCTAGATGTAGACTGCCCACTCAGCATATTCTCTGAACATATGTTTAATATCAGGTTGGTTTCCAGCATCACCCCCTCACATTTATGAACTTCCTTTTTTACCTTTTGGTCACTACAGGCCTTGGGGACACTAACTATATTATTTTATAATGGGCTAAGGAAAAGCAATTAGTAATATAAACCCATATTCTTTTCCCCACTCTATCCCACCCCAACTCTGTACCATTCTGAGAAAACTAGAGGATTGAATTACTGAGCCACAGTCAGTGATCTTTGAAAGATCATGGAAGATGGGAGAGGTAGCATGGGACTACAGAAGGGCAAATTTCTCAATTCTTCTCTCTCCTCCCAAAAAAGAAAATGGAGTTTGCAAACTATAGATTACTGTGCATTTTTGATACCTGGAACAATTCTATAATGAGTTATTAAAGGGATGGTTAATGAACAACTAAAAACAGAAGCAGTGATCACAAAGAGCCACAATGGCTTCATTAAGAACAGATCATGTCAGCTTAACCTCCTTTTCTTTTTTGACAGATTATTTGATTGGTAGATCAGGGGAATTCCATAGAAATGGTTTACCTAGATTTTAGCAAAGCATTTGACAATATCTCTAACCCTGTTCTCAAGATAGAGAGATATAGGCAAGATAGGAGTACAGTTAAGTGGATTTGGAAATGGTTGAATAGCTAGACCCAAGGAATAATCATGAATGGTTTAATGTCATCCTTCAAGAAAATGTCCAGTTGAGCCCCAGGGATCTCTTCTTGATTCTGCTCTATTTAATATTTTTATTGACGACTTGGATGAGGGCATAGCAATGAGCTTACCAAATTTGAAGATGAGGATGGATAGGAACTATAGCTAGGAGAGATACCTAACATATTGGGTGACAGGACTCCAAACATCTCTACAAGCTATAAAGTTGAGCCAAATCTAATGATATGAAATTTAATTGGGATAAATATAAATTCTTACACCTGGGTTTAAAAAAATCAACTTCCTACATAGAAAATGTGGGAAGTGTGGGTAGACAGTAGTTCATACGAAATAAAATTGGAGGGGTGGGGGTGTTATAGGATTACAAGCTTAATAAGTCAATAGTGACACATGGCAGTCAAGAAGACTAATGCAATCTTGGGCTTCATGGGGACTCTCCTCATAGTGTTCAGGAATAAGAAGGAGATAATCCCACCATCCTCTGCCCTGGACAGGTCATATCTAAAGTATCGAGTTCAGTTCTGGGTATCATATTTTAGTGCCATTTTAATCAGTTGGAAAGCATCCAGAGGAAAGCATGCAGAGTGATAGGGGTCCTTAAGATCCTGCCCTATGAGTATTGGTTGAAGGAACTGGGGATGTTTAGCCTGAAAAAGAAAAGACGTAGAGTAGACACGATGGCTGTGTCTTCAGGTTGTTGAAGAGCTGTCACTTGAAGAAGGATTTAGACTTATCCTAACTGGCACTGGAGAGCAGAATTAGCAACAAGGAGTGAAAGGCAGATTTAGGCTTGATGTAAGCAAAAACTTCCTAACAATTATAGCTTTCTGAAAGTGGAATGGGCTACCTTGAGAGCCAGTGGGTTCCTCCCTTATTAGAGATCTTCCAGCAAAGGGTGGATGACCAATTATTGGGTATGTTCTATAGAGGCTTCTTGTCCATTGATATGTCGGACTAGATAACCTCTGAGCTCCCTTACAACTCTGAGATTTCTGGGATTTGTAGATGGGGTGTCCCAAAAGTCCTAGTGCCATTTTAAGTTATCAAAGCTTAAAATGGCGCTAAGACTTTTGGGACACTGTATCCCTCTGTGTGTATATGTAAGTATATAGATTTATGGTATACATATGTATACACATACATACATGCATATATGTGCATATATGAATATATACCCATTCACCTATATGTATATACCCACATTAAATGTCTATAATGCATCTCATTCCCTTTGACAAATAGGTATCTACTTTGTAGCAAGTTAAGTCACATATTACAATAAAAATTCAAAGCCCCCAGTGAAAGTCAACTCACAGGGCAGTGCAACTTTCAAACTTGCTTGATAGCACACAGATGTCTTGACCTTAGTCTGATGGAATGGCTTCATATGAAGTCCTTATTTAGCGGTGAGTGGTGAGGACAACATAAGGATCATTCCTCACCCCTCCTCACTATCTCCCTAACCAAGAAGTCCAACTAAGATGCCCTTTCCAGTTGGGTAATAAGGCAGCATGGTATAGTGAGTGGCAAGAGAACTGATCTAAAGTCAGAAGTTCTGGGTTCAAAATCTGTGTGCTACTGACCACCACCTGTGTCACTTTAAGTCAGCTTCTCTAGGCCTCAGTTTCCTCATCTCAGAGCCCCTTTCCAGCTCTAAATCTTAGGAACTCTGAAAGCTACCAGAGTATCTCACACTTTGGTATTTTCTTTTTTTTTTTTTAAACAAGGTAAAATATTACAAGTCTTCAAAACTTGCACCTGAGTTACATATGTTGAAAATTCCATCTTAAGGAAAGAGCATACTAGGGAGGAGGGAGAAGGAGGCAAGGAGCAGGGGCCTATTTTCAAGCATGTAGTTGCCATTATTATTTATATATGTGTGCGTGTTTAGTCCTACCATTCCACAGCCAAGGAAGCCCAGAAGAACAGGGAAGGAGGAAAAGAAAGAATATACAGAGAAATAATATTCTCAGAGTCTGGGCAAGGGAAAGAGATTGCTTTGAGGGTACTAAGGATAGGTCAGTTTTCTGCAAAGAAGAGGATGGTGGTTAGCAGTGGGGAAGCATGCAAATATAGGTAGATTTGGATGTCTATAAAAGAAAGAGAAAGGAAAAGAGTATACAGACCTAAAAACTTTGTTGAACAGATAAAAGAATGAAGCAGAGGGGCTTTGTAGGCAGCACCAGGTTCAAATTTTGATACAATTCTCTATTGAAATGAATTTGGTAACCACGGCTCAGTTTATAGTTAATATCAGTATAGGCCCCTCGGTATTTGTGGTGTGGCATTCTAGGTAGACTGTTCTCGTGGGAAACCCTCCTTTTAGCTTTGAAGGAATGACCAAGGCCTCCTTCCTCTGAAAGACTCTAAGCATGAGAGGTCATCTCAGGTGTTTGGAACTATAAGAGAAGGTCTCAGGCAGGGAAGGTGAGGTTGGCAAACTCCTGGGGGAGGGACGACTTATATTTCAAGAGCATTAAGAGTCAACACATGGTACAATCACAGTTTGAATCTCTTGAGCCTCTTGCTGCTGAAGAAGGCAAGAATTTGAGCTTGTTCATAGTGGAGTCTCCTCTCCTCTTCTTAGAGAAGTTGGTCCATAACCCAAAGGCAAGAGAGAGACTTTCCTCCATGCAACAAGGGAAACAGGGTCAGATACAGGGCAGAGATTCTCTGGTTTCAATGGAGGTAGGTGGGGTGATTCCATCGGTACCAAGATCTAAAGTAGAGAAAGAAACCAACGAAGAAAGTAAAAACTACATTAGAAATAGATGCATAGAACTATAAGTACATGTGTGTATTTATGTCTATATTGAAGACACTTATTTCTATAATTACATACGTGGTACTGCCTATACATACATGTATATACATATGTATATACACATATACATTATGTGAGTATGTATATATACATATGCACATTTATATACACATATATACACATGCACACACATATATATTATTCTCTCTCTCTCTCTCTTTCTCTCTCTCTCTCTCTCTCTCTCTCTCTCTCTCTCTATATATATATATATATATATATACACATATATATTTCAGATAGGTGAAACCTATAACTATCATGCAAACAAATGCATGCCTGTGATATAGTATAGTAGAAATAGCACTGGATTTGGAATGAGAAGAACTGGGTTTAAATCTTGGCTCTGACACTTTGCATGAGCTGATTCCCCTGTCTGGGCCTCAATTTCCTTCTCTGTAAAACAAGATGTTGGATGAGATAACCTCTAAGAGGCCCCTCCTGCTCTAGATGCCATACAGTCAATTAGGAGGGTGGGCCTGCCTTTCCTCAGGCTTCACTAGTTGCCTTGATGATCTGTATCAGATAAAATTATTATCTGGACAAGTTTAGGGCCCTATCAGCTCTAGAACTTAAAACTGTCACGGGCCTTTGAATTTGGACAAAACCTCCCAGATTGGGAATTATGTTTCTAAATTGATTCTTTGGTTCATGAGCAGAGGAGTCTATGATTCCTTGATGAAAAGCCTCTCTCCTCTGGTGTATATGCCGGGAGAGCAGGGGAAGTTGAGAGAGGAGAAAAAGGGAAGTTGAAGTTCAGGAGATAGGAAAAGGAAAGGGAGAGTCTGGCACCATCCTGCTCCAAACTCAGTGTGTTTTTTTGTACCTAAACAGTGGGCCCATTTCAGAACAGCTTGGAGAATGCAGAGTTTGGCTTGAAATGAGCTGCACACTTGCAGAGCCCAGCACATGACCTAATCCTTTCTAATGGGAGTGTTTGGAAATTTCCATCACAGAAGAGAGGAAAATGTTGGCGAATCTGTTGACTTCAGATACTAGCCAGGAACAGTGACTGCGACTTCCCCTTTAATTCCCACCCTCCACAGGATAAGCTCCAGAGAGTGACTCTTCAATCCTGTTCTTTGGCTACCTTCCTCATCTATTTTTTTCCCCCAACACTTGGCGCTTGAACTATTTCTCATGGCATTGACTCCAGCTTCTCACCCTTCCTTGGCCTGATGTGGGGCATGCTGGGAGTCTCCCACCTTACCCAGAAGTGTTAAAACTGGAATTCACTGATGCTTTTGAGTGAGTCTGAGATACACTAGGGCTGCTGGCATGGAGTCCTGAGCCAGGAGATGAAGGTCTGCTGTTGTTCCCAGGGGGAACAGGATGACGTTACTAAAAAGAGAGGCAAAAAAAAAAAAAGGTGAAATCCTTCCTGTAGATCCTAGGAACCTCTGTCTCCTTCCATCAACTCACTTCTTCACTTGCCTATCCTAGAAGGGATCTCACTCAATGACAGCTGGTGTGTTCACAACCTTCCTTCCCCCCCCACCCCCCCACCCCAGCTCCCAGCACACTTATACTAACACCACCCTGAGCAGCCCTGAACATGGTGCTCTTTGCATCCTAGGACTCGGAGAGTGGAAGAGCTGGTTCTGCAAGCCCAAGACTTGGCACAGACAGACGCTCATAGCAGCCTACTCCAGGAGGACACACCCAGGGCTGGGCATGTACGGCATTATCGCCTCCACTCCCACCAGCCAAAGAGATGAAAAGGGACTTTTTGCTAAAGGACTAGTAGGCCACGAGAGAAAGGGAAAGAGAAAAGAGCCTGTAAGAAAAGGAGGCCAGAACACGGGGGTCTCCTTTAGGGTCTTTTGAACAAAATTAAGCCAGCCAACCTGTCTAGTTTTCCCATTCCTAAAAAAAGAAAAAGGAGGCAGGATGTTATAGAACATGCACTGGGCTAGCTATAGGGCCGACTCTGCTCTTTGCTACTATATGACCTGGGACGAGTCCCTTCACTCCTCTAGGCCTCTCTATCCTCATTTATAAGATAAGAGCTGGACTAGATCATAGTTTTAGAGCTGAGATGTAATCTAATCCAATCTACTCATTTTACAGATGATGAATCAAGGCCCAGAGAGGTTAGATTATTTATCTAAAATCCCACAACTAATAGTTAACAGAGCCGGAGGTTGAACTCAGGACCTACTAACACAAAATTCTATTCTTTTTTCCACCATCATATGTGTCACCATTGCAGTGATCTCTAAGGTCCCTTTTCAGCTCAGATTCTATGATTCTCAGGATTCCTCGATCACTTTTGAGACATTCTCATAAAACTTACCTGCTCCGGGCATGGTGCTGTGAACAGGAGTAACAGAGAGGGGGCCAAGGGACCCTGTAGTAGAGACCTGAAAAGCAATAGAGTTTTTGTTATATTCTAGCTCCTCTCTACCTTTCCCAGATGTATCCCTTGGCACTCAGCTGCAGAGTGGGACCAGTTTGTGGTTCCATACGCACAGTTTGTTATCTTTCTCCCAAGAGGGTCTTTCCCACTGAGCACATATGAGAACCTAGCCCACGTGTCTGTCCATTCCCACAAATGGGTGCTTCTGCGGACCCTAGCTCCACATACACATTGCCCTAGTATACTGATGAATGCAATACCACAGTGCCTCCTGGTGCCAAGGCAGGGAGAGAAAGCTGGATGCTTCAATCCAGTGCAGCTGTTTCCTGGAAATGAGATGGGCCAAAAGAGGCTGAACCAAAGAGAGGGCAGGAGGACAAACACCCAGCTTCTGGGAGAAACACTAGGAAAACTTGAACTCAGACTACTGACCACCTCCAAACTGCCCTGAAGACTTCAAAGAATCATAGATTCATACTTGTTGGAGCTGGAAGGTTCTTTAGAAATCAGGCAATAAATAGCAGAGCTTAGGGCAGCTAGGTGGCACAGTGGATAGACCACCAGCCCTGGAATCAGAGGACCTGAATTCAAATCTAGCCTCAGACACTTACCAACTCTGTGACCCTAGGCAAGTCACTTAACCCCAACTGTCCCCCCAAAATAAGAAATAAAAGAAGTAGCAGAGCTGAGATTAAAATTAAAAAAAACCCCACAGCTTTTTAATCACAGATGTGAGGAGTTAAAAGGTCATCAGTATTCTATTTCTGCCTCCTATTCAATGCAAGATTTTTTTTCCTGCATAGTGAATAAAGGACTGGACTTGGAGTCAGGAAAACCTGAGTTCAAATCCTATCTCAGACCTACTGGTTATGTCACCATGTGAAAGTCACTTAATTTCTATCTGCCTTAGCTCTGTCATTTGTAAAATGGGAAAAAATGTAGCAATGATCTCAAAGGCTTATTATGAAGATAAAATAGATAGTAAATATAAAATGCTTTGCAAACATTGAAGTGACATACAAATGCTGTGATTTTTATTAGACCCCCTTCTATAAAATGCAGATAATAATGGCATCTATCTCATTTTGTTGTTATGTCATTTTCAGTCACATCTGACTCTTTGTGACACCATTTGGGGTTTTCTTGGCAAAGATACTGGAGTGGTTTGGCATTTTCTTCTCCAGCTCATTTTACAGATGAGGAAACTTAGACAGAGTTAAGTGACTTGCCCAGGGTCACCCAGCTAGTAAGTATCTGAGGCCTTTAGGCCTGGCACTCTACCCACTATGCCACCTAGCTGCCCTTCCTCACGAGGCAGCCCCATTTCATTGTCAGATATCATTAGTTGCTGCAAAGTTTGTCTTTATTCTGAGCTATGTAATGTTCCTTCCCTTCCTTTTTTCTTCCTTATGGCCTGCCAAATGGGTTCCTGGTTATCTAGGTGAGATAGTGGACAGCATTTTGGCTTTCGAATCAGAAAGTATGCAATCCAAATTCTGCCTTATGCATTATGTGTGTCTGCGGGCAAATCAATTCACCCCTTTCAGATTCCTTATCTGTAAAATGAAGACAGCAATAGTAATTGCCTTAGAGGAGAGGTGTAATGATTAAATAAGATGACGTATGTAAAGTGCTTTGTAAACTTTAAAGTGCCAAATAAATGCTATTTATTATTTTGTTATTATTACTATCCTTATCATTGTTGTTGTTGGTTTTCATAGGCAATGGTTAAGTGACTTGCTCAGGGTCACAAAAAAAGTAAGTGTCTGGAATCAGATTTGAACTTAGATCCACCTAACTCCAGGGCTGGTGCTCTATCCACTGCACCACCTGGCTACTGCAATTATTGTTACTGTTAAGAGGCAGTGTGGTATAGTGAAGAGACAGCCAGTCTAGAAACCAAGAAGATCTGGGTTCAAATTCTGCCTCTGACTGAGGCTGACTGTGCAACCCTTGGCACGTCACTTAACTTCTTAGTATTCTAGGCAATTCTTTGACTACACATAGCACAGAAGGTGGCACTCTGCATTGGAAGAGGGAGTTTTCTCACCCTATATTAATTAATTAAATCACAGTTCTAGTCCCTATCCCTGTTATTGGGATGCATTACTATTGCTTGATGCAGTCCGTAGACATTTGAAGGGTCTGTATGCTCAGGGAACTATGATTCCCTCCCACCACTCCCCCTCCCATACACACACACATTCTAGGATCCCCAATTCAGATCTTCCATTTCAGCAGGATGCAGCATGCACTTGCTTTTTAATTTATTAGACCTGGCTCCAACTGTGGTTGTTCCCCTTTTCTTTTATTATAAGGCTCATCAGCAGGCTGGGAATGCACAGACATGGGAGTGGGGCCAGGGGAGGGTAGAAGCTCCCAGTGCCTCTCCTGTGACATCCCGAGAACTGCCAAATACTTTCAGACTTGTCATCCCAAGCACCTCTGAGTCTCCTTCTCTCCTTTGTCAAATCACAGCTGTGCCCCAAAGGACTATGTGACCTTGGGCAAATCATGTCCCATCTCTAGAGCCCAGGTTCTTCCTCTCTAAAGCGAGGATACTAGATTCTTCTGGCTCAGACATTCTGTGATTCTGCCCTTCCCTTGTCTCTGTCTGCCTCTGTCACAAGAGCAACCCACTTAGAACAAAGTATCTCATTCCTTGTAAAGCACACAAAAATCAGGCCTCTCATGAGGACAAAGGCGAGTGAGGACAAAGGAATTAGCAAAGCAGGACCCTTTCCTCCAAGAAACCAGAATAGGTTATCTTGGTCAAGGAGCAGTTAGAGAGGAGCTGGTGACACTTTCAAACATTTGAGAAGGGTGGAGGGAGAATTAGATTGTCTTCCCTCTCTTCTGCTCCTCCCTGCTTCTGGCAGGCAAACCCAATAATGTCATGTGCTGGGAAAGAACCAAAACTGGAACCTGCCTGGCATTTGCTCTAAGCAAAGTCTGACACTAAGCCACAGGCAGGGACCCTTAGACTGGCCACTTAGAAGCCAGTTACTTTTTTTTTTTAACCAGGTAGAAAGAAGCCTTTATTTCACTCACCATAGAAAATGCGTAAGATACAAAGAACTCATAGGAACCCATAAACAATGGAAGAAACATAAAATACTCAAATAGCCTATTAGATTCTCTTGAAGGTATATACACTTGGGGAAAAATTGAACAAGTGTGCCCCATGCACCTTGGACCTGCACTGTCTGAGTAACTCACAGGACTGGGACACAAGGTTGGCAATCTCTTATGCATCCACCTATGACATGGTTCCAGTCCTCCAACTGCAGGGGCACTTTGACAGTCCCTTTCCTTTTTTTTTTTTTTTTGGCTTTTTAATCTCTGCAGGTTTACTTTAGAGAAAATTTGTTTTAATATACTACAGAACAGTTAAGCTAATAAAATGCAACAGATATACCATTACAATTCCAAGTAGCTTCTATACCAAATCACATTGCTCATTGAATATTCAAACCCCCAAACAAAAATGTTTCTTTGAATAACTTTAGCATATTAAAAAAAGCTCTTGGATTTGTCAAATCATTCAAAAAATGAACTAAGAAACTTAAATTATTAAAACACTAACTATTTTAAACTTACGACAGATGTCAGTATCAGGTACACTGGAAAATCATGGCCCTCAAAAGTTAAGTTTTATGTACCAAAATTATAACTGGCAAACAAATACTTTCAAATAAAAAGATCACTTGCGCCTTTTGGTAAGAGAATATTCTGATAATATTTAAGCTGTGGGGAACATTATTGGATTCTATGAAGTTTTGTGAAGTGATCTAAGGGAAGTCAAATGCTAACAATGTAAATGTACTGTTGGTGTATGAACCATGTTTTAGTTTGTTTTATAATTGATAATATATTTAAATAATTTGCTCTGGCCTTCCAAAATCTCCCTTTTTGGTGGGGCTAAAGTTAGCACAAGAACAGATGTGGGAAATGAAAACAGTGCCTAGCCTGGAAAAAGAAACATTTTGCAAAGATGGTTTACCTTTATCTTAGCCCTCAATCCAATCAAGTCTTAAAATATACTTATTTTTGGCCAACTTCAAAATTATTAACTGTATTAACTTAATACTAAAAAAAAAAATTGCAGTCCTGGGTGAATGGTGACTTTTTCAACACTCCTTAGTACCACTTCACCTGATGAACACTTGTCTAATAATGTTCCACGTTTATAAACATTTGCTGCTACATAATACAATTGTCCAGAATTCATTTTTGTGCTGTTGTGTGTTACTTTTCATGAACTCTTCAACATTACCCCAAATTTACTTCATGTTCTAAAATTGTCATGCCAATTTAGTCTAACAATCATAGTTCCTTAGTGTTGATAATTTTAAGTGGGCATTTAACATTGTAATAACTTAGAATTTAAGATTCTAATACAGATTTTGACAGGCAATGGTAGTGACCATAGAAAAGACAAATCTTGTGCCAAGTGCAAGGTATGAAAAATTAAGGTGTTTTTAATGATCTAAAACAAACTACTTTCAAATTTACATAGTAGGAAAAGAAAGGTTTTCAACGTATGAAAGATTTCATTAATGCACTCAACATGGCCATTTTTATGACCTTCTAGTCACATCTAGCTACTCGCCCTGAACAGGCCTAACAAGCTGTCTAGGAGAAGCCAGTTACTTCTAAAGCACAGCCAAACCACCGGTGCTGAAACACAGAGGCAAGGCCAAGGACACGGAAAGCCGAATAGCAGCTCTAAACAGAGACCCATTTGGGGGCTGGGAGGAGGCCTCCCACCCTCCTTTTGAGTCCTTGCTCTGCTTCCCAGAGGGCACAAAATTTAGAGGAGTCTAAAGCAAGACCATTTCACTTCCCCTTTCTCTTCTTTCATCTCTCCCTCTCTCCTTACCCCAGCAAGCTGAAAAGCAGGCTATTGCCACCCTTATGACAGGTGTTGTTTGTCCTTCCTACTCAAAGTGGGCCAATGACATCAGGAGTGTGATGTAATGATTTGCAAGTGAATTGCAAAGTCATCGGCCTCACTCTCTCCTCCAGAGTCATCGGAGTCCAATCAGGGCAACTGGTGATGGCCCAAGATGCAGTGGGAGGCTTTGACCTTTTGAAGCTTAAGATCTTTCCCAGGTCTCAGTTTGTCTGAGGCAACACCCACTCAATAAGTAAAGGCTAGTTAAGAATAGAGACAAAAGAAAGCCTAGTTTGCCTTCACAAGAAAATTGATCTGGGAGGGAAGGACCCTCGGAGTTTACACAAGTAATAGCCCAGGTAATGGTAGTGACCACAGAAGAGACAAATCTTGTGCCAAGTACAAGGTAGATTAACTAGTCCTCCCTGCCAAGAAGAGTGGGAAGGAAACTGGAGCAGATATGGGTTGACTTAATGGTTTTTCTTTCAGTGATCTCATCATCTCTAATGAATTGAATTGACTATTTCTATGCAAATGACTCTCAAATCTACATCCAGCCCTGGTTTGTGTCCTAAACGACCTGTTTGATGAATATCTCTACCTCTACCTCAACATGTTCATATTGTAATCTGTTAGCTTCCTCATCAACCCGTCCCTAATTGACATCTCCCTATTTTTGGTAAGGGTCTCACCATCCTTCTAGGCACCCAGGTTCACCAACCTCAGGTTTAGCCTTGATTCTTCCTTTTCCCTCACTACCTAGATCCAATCAGATGACAACTCCTTAAGATTTCACCTGTACAATATCTCTTTCATCTGTGCCATTCTTTCCATTCATGTGGTGCCTACCTTCATTTGGGCCCTAATCACATCTCACTATTGCATTATCTTCTTAATTGATCCCCCAGATTACTGTCTCTCCTTTCTCTAATCTCTCCTCCACATGGCTACTACAACACTTTTCTTAGGGCACTGGTCTGATCATGTCACTCTCTTTCTCAAAAACCATTAGTGGCTCCCTATCATCTTTAGGATAAAATATCAATTTAACCTACTATTTAAATCTTAGTACAATGTACCTCCAACCTACCTTTTCAGACAGTCCATATTCTACATTCACTCACTTTTCCAGCCAAATTGTATCCCAAACTTGGCATTCCATCTTCAATCTCCATGCGTTTTCACAAACCATCCTCTGTGCCCATGATATGTTTTTTTCTTATCACCATCATTTACTATAATTATCTTCCTTAAAAGCTTGGTTCAGGAATCACTACCTAAACGACACTTTCCCTGAGCCAACCAATTACAAGGGCTCTCTTTTCTCCTCCAATCACCTTTTATTTCCTATCTATGTACATGTTGTAAATCCACAGTCAAATGCAAGTTCATTGAAGACAACGACTATCTCTCATGTTTATAGCTGTATTTTCAGCCCCATTAGAGGTCCTGGGCATAGCACATGCCATGTCTGTGCAAATGAATGAATTTCCATCAATAGCAGGGAGATGAACAGGGAGAAAAAAAAAGAAAACAGAGCAGATGGGATAGAGTGGATTGTTCATGGTGGGATCGTGAACGATCAGCAGCTCTTCAGTAGATTCACAGGCTGTGAGCTTCCTAGGCTTTTTTTTTCCTTTCCAGTTTGTCTTTAGGCCTTAGAGACTGGCAACTTTACAAATTCCTTCCCTGGGAGGTGCCAACTTGTGTTTCTCATTTTCTTTCTGTTGTTTTTTCCCCCCTTGGGAATAGCAAATTGTAGTGGAAAGGTACTAGACCTGGCGTCAGTAGTACTAAGTTCACATGTTGGATCTTACTGCCACTTAATATGTGAATGACCTTGAACAAATCACTTGACTTTGTTATGCCTCAGTTTCTTTACCTGTAAAATAGGGGTTTGGACTAGATAGCTTCTAAGGTACTCTAAATCCTATGATTCTGTGGTCTCAGCTTGATGCACCTCATTTACCCACACCCTCAAGAGGCCAACAAATACACTGGATGGTCCTCCCTTCTCCTGAAGGCTCTAGTTGCCACTATCATGTACCCAGGGTGGTCAAGGGGGAAGAGCACTGGATCCGGAGTCAGAGACCTGCCTTTGGTTCTTGGTGATGACACTTACTACCCACATGACACTGAGTCAGTCATATGGCTTTTCGAGTCTCAGTTTATTCCTCCATTAAATTATGAGGTTATACTAGATAATCATAATAGATATAATAAATCATTAGAGATAATAATATATTATGATTGTACCTTCTCTCTTTCTCTTGCTTCTTTATCACAGGATCAGAGATTTAGAGCTGGAAAGGATCTTAGAGGTCATTGAGTTCAACCTCATTTTATACACGAGAAAACTGAGACACAGAAAAGTTAAATGATTTGCAAGGGTCTCAGAACTGGTGAGATGGGATTTGAACTTAGGTGTTCCTGACTTTATGCCCTGGGCCATATTCAATACACCATGCTGCCTTTCAACAACAACAACAACAACAATAACAACAACTCACTCTCTTGTTACCTAGACAAGTTAGTTTTCAGCATTTATCCCTTGCTCTCCCCATCCCTACACAGTAATGTTGGTTGGGGTGGTGTGGGGTAGGAGCACCCAGACACCCAGCATCATTGTGTGCCTGCTGCATTTCCCCTCAGAGGAGGCTATACTCCATCAGTCCCTGAATCCTCCAGAATTCAGAACAAGAACCAGGCCAGAGGGTGACATTTTTCCCCACCCTGTTACCCGGCAAGCATCATTCCCCTCTGACTTCTGTAGGCTGCCAGGCTTGGTGCCTCGTACCAGCCTTGAGTTATAGATGGGCGACTTCATGGGGGTGGCCATGGGACAGTTGATTCGCTTTTCTTTCTGGCGCCGATTGCAGAACCAGACCCGAACCACCTCCTTCTCCATGGAGAGCTGTTCGGCAATTAAGGAGATCTCCTCAGAGCTGGGCTTGGGGTTCTACAAGGGAGAGGAAGGCCAGGAAGGGGTGTTAGAAGTGGAGGGTCAGGGTTGGGGGAACAGTCACATCCCACTCAGCCCTGAAGAGGGGAGCCTAGGACTTCCATGGGGCAGGGGGAGGGGAGATGGCGTGGCAATCAGATACTTGCCTGGTGGTCTTAGGAGGGGAATTGAACTTATATTCTCTGCATTTTTCTAGGTCAGGGGAGGAATGATCCTCTGAACATCCTTCCTAAATGGACTGATATTCTGGGGACAGTTCAGTCAAGGTGGTCCCAACTTAAATGAGAAGTGAACTTACATCTTGAAATCTCTTTTCCAAAGTCAGACGGATATTAGTTTCGATGCTGGTCCTCTTCTTCCTTTTCCGACCAAAAACCTCACTGAGGGAGGGGTAAGAGCTGGGGGTACTCACTGTGGAGTCTGAAGGAGAGGACTCTGTAGGGAATGAGAAGGAAGCACAAGAAAAGCTCTGTGAAGGAAAGAAGGGGTCGGTATAGATCCCAACTCCAATAGTTTTACCATGTTACTCCTTGGCTCAAAAACCTTCCATGGCTCCCCATTGCCTCTAGGATAAAATACAAACTCCCCAAACTGGCATTTAAAACTCTCCACCATTTCTACCCACCTTTCCTGTTTTCACTCATACTATTCCCCCACTCCCAAACTTTATATTCCAGCCAAACAGGACTTCTAGCTGTTCTCTTTTCTTTCTTTTTTTTTGGGGGGGGGTGCGGCTAGACAATGGGGTTAAGTGACTTGCCCAGGGTCACACAGCTAGTATGTGTTATGTGTCTGAGGCCGGATTTGAACTCAGGTCCTCCTAACTCCAGGGCCACCTAGCTGCTCCTGTTCCCTTTTCTTGACACTCTGTCTCTCATCCCTATGCCTTCAGACAAGCTGGCGTCCATACCTAAATTGTATTCTCTCCTCCATTTTTCAGAATCCTTGGTTTTTGTCAGGGCACATCTCAGGTATTACTGCCTAAGTGAATTCTTCCCTGATTCCTCTGGTTAGCACTCTCTTCCTCAATTTTCTTTTCATTGTATTTATTTGGGTACATAATGCTCCCCCTACCCCCATGAGTCCTTGAAGGTAACTGCTGCTCCATTTTTGCCCTTGTACCTCCAGCTTCACGCCATAGAAAGTGCTTAATAAGTATTAGTTGAATTAAATTCAGACCCGAGACCCCTGAATAGGTCCTGTGTGAACATGTAGCATCATTACCATTGCCAGGGCTGCCCAGCAGGGAGGAAAGGACGCGCTCCGGAAGAGCCCGCCAGATTCAGATTTTTCCCTGCTGGGTTGGGCCAAGGCTGTCCCTGCTTCCTGATAGCAATGGATCTTGGATTTGTAGCTCATGGTACAGGGATGCTTCAGGAAATGAGGGAAGATATATAGGTGCACATATGCACAAACCTACGTGCATATGAGCATGTTTGCAATAGGTTACGTTAATTAATGTTTTTAAATATGCCTGAAAGTTTAACTAAAAGTAAAATGCAAACTGGCATTCCAAGCTAAGAAGTCTGACACTTTGGGAGTTGTTGTTATTGTTGTTGTTTTGCAAGATGACAACACTAACATCACCTCCTCACTCTTCCAAATGCCTTATTGAAACCTCCCCAAGGTATAGTCAAAGCTGACAAACTAGAGTAACCATATTTATCAGGGTATCAAGGGCCGGCCACCACCCTCTTTGGGCCTCTGAAATATTCCCTTGCATGCCATCTGTACCACCCACCTGCATCATTGAGCCACTTTTCCAGGAGTGGTTTGAGTTTACACATGTTCTTGAAGCTCAGATTGAGGGCTTCGAATCGGGAGATTGTGGTCTGGCTGAAGTCATTGCCATACAGCTTCCCCATGGCCAGCCCTACATCACCCTGCCCATTGGAACAAAATTGAGAACTATAAGAGAGACCATCCTCCTCTTCATCCCCCACTCTTCCCAGCACCCCACCAGCTGCCCCATCCTTTCACAAGCCACCCAGGATCCCGTCCCCATCACCTGTATCACATAAGTTTCTTTACAAGCCAGAAGATTAATTAATCTTCTTTCACTCTGAGTAGACCTGTCCCCATCTGTTCTGGGACCAATGCCCACATGGCACTACTGCCTGGATCTGTCACCTCTATACATTGAAAGTGTGGCTTTTTCCTTATTAATACAGCATTTACTTATTTTTTTTTTGTCAAACCTTGGGCCAGCGGCTTTTTCTTTGGTTGCCTGGGGAGGCAGACTGGGAGATATACATGGGGTAGAGGACACGCAAGAAGAGAAGGAGTAAATATGACTCTTCATGTGGCAACAGAGATGAGGAAGATTTTAAAAAGTCTTAGTTCTTATGTGGGGCAAAGGCATAACCAATGATGATGCTTCCCCACATAGTCCTGACATCAGCCCCTAAGCCAGCCACCCCCACTAGAATATCTTCGAGGAGAGTGGTAACCTATCCATGTCCTCAGTTTTCCTATAAGTGACCATTGTGTTCTGAAGTTCAGAGCACACTGTCCTGAAAATGAGCTCACAGCAAACCTGACATTGCTTTTATATATCTGAAAACCTTTTTTCTCCTGTAGGGACTTGACTAAGTTTCTGCTTTAGTTTGCATTAGTCTTATCTTACTTTCCCACTAATAAGACCAGGTTTTTTTCCTTCCTTTTCTCAAAATTCCCTCTTCTTCTCCATGCCCCAAATCCCAACCTGAGTGAAGCCTAGCTTGATGCGTCTCTGCTTGAAGGTCTTGGCAAACTTTTCTAATTCCTCTAGGTCACTGGGTTCATCTGGCCCTCCAGAGTTGGGCAAATGTTTGGAGACTTGAATATGTTGTGACACATCCAGATGGGAGTCTAAGGATGATCCTGGCAGCCCAGGGCGACCAACTGCCTGTTGGATGAAAAAAATGTGAACCCAAACCCACAAAGACTCTGAATCCCAGGGGGTGTTCTCTCTGATACTTCTAAACAAACAGGTCCTGAAGGAGTATGTTGGCCTACTTGTATTCAGGGGTGATAATGTTGTGGGATTTAGAACTGGAAGAGAGCCCTCAGCCCTCTCACTTTACAAATTAGGAAACTGAGGCACAGAGAAGCTAAGTAATCTGCCCAACAGAGCCAAGATCCAAACCTCGGCCCTCTGACTCCAAATCCAGTGTTCTTCTCATTTCACTGTGCTGCTTCACCTTGGATGCAACTCAGACTCCAACTTCAATCAATAATTAATCAATCAATAAAGATTTATCAAGCACCACTATGTGCCAGCCACTGTGCTAAGTGTTGGGTTACAAAAAGAGGCAAAAGACAACTCTGTGCTCTCCAGCAGCTCACAGTCTAATGTAGGCCTGCACCACTTAAGGCCCGCCAAAGAAGTTTGGGTAGCCTGTGAAAAAATGCAAAGGAAAACATCCCCTACATTTTTCTAGGGCTGCTGGAAACTCTTTGGTGTGGCCTTGGGCCATAGGTAGCCCGTGGGCTGCATGCCATATAGGCCTGGTCTAATGGAAGAGACAACAATTTTCAAAGGAGGAGAAAAGGAATGTGGACTTCTCTAAGAAACAGTTATGTTATCATGGACAGAGCATTGGGGTCACAAAACCCCAACCCTACCGACCAACACCTCAGAAAGTAATAATAATAATAATAATAATAATAATAACAGCTAACATTTACAAAGTGTTTTTTAAGGTTGACAAAGCACTTTACAAATAGTATTGCATTTGCTCCTCACAATAACCCTGGGAAGTGCTATTATCATGCTCATTTTATTGCTGAGGAAACCGAAGCAGACCACTCTTAAGTGCCTTGCCCAATGCCACACAGATAGTAAATGTCAGAGGCAGCTCCTTCTGATTCCAGATCCAGCAATCTATCAACTGCATCACCTAGCTGCTTCATAAGAGCCAGCATTTATATAGTGATCTAAGGTCTGCAAAATGCTTTGCACATACTGTCTCATTTGATCCTCCTGACAATCCTGGCAGGTGGGTCTTCTTATTATTTCCATTTTACAGATGAGGAAACTTAGGCAAACAGAGGTTAAGTCACTTGCCCAGAGTCACACAGCTAGTGTCTGAGGTTACATTTGAACTCAGGTCTTGTTTTATCTGTTTCTTCAGGGCAGACTGAAGGTGTCCAGCAAGTACTCATTAATGATGACAGAGGGAGGTAAGCCAGCTAGAGAGGTATCATTAGGTTTAATGTTCAATTATCCTATTAGAAGTTCCAGGCTTCAGTGCAGACATTTTCAAACCACAATGACTACTCTTTTTACTTCCCAAACCACCATCATCCTTTCTAGGTAGAGTTGATTTTATTAGTAACAGAGGATACTGTTTTGTCTTTCTACTGACCTTTCACCATCATATCATCTCTCGCACATGTAATATCTTCCCCCCATCCCAATTTAACCTAATATTAACACAAAGGTGTGGCTAGAAGGTTGGACTTGAATTCAGTAAGACCTGAGTTCAAATCCTGTCTCAGATACTCACTTGCTGTGTGATCCTGGCCAAGTCACATAAAGTCTCTGAGCCTCAGTTTTCTTATCTATAAAACAGGGATAATAATACCTCTAATGCCTACATTTTAGGATTTTTTGTTAAGTTTAAATGAAATGATGATGTATATAAAGTATCTTGTACACTTTGATAAATCACATAAATGTTAGTAGATTCATCATCATCATCATCATCATCATCATCATCATAATAATAACAACTAACATTTATATAGCATTTACTATATATCAGGCACTGTGCCATTATTATCTTGTTTGATCCTTACAACAACCCTGAAAGGTAAGTACTAATATTATCCTCAATATACAAATGAGGAAACTGAAGCAAACTGAAGGTTAAGTGGCTTGCCCAGAGTCAGATAGCTAGTAAGTGTCTGAGGCTAGATTTGAACTCAGGACTTCCTGATTTGAGATCTAGTGCTCTGTCCACTGTGTTACCTAAATCCCTTATACTATCATCACCTTAAAATGTACCTTACACTTTACATGATACCAATGGTGGGGGGAAGAAGGGGTCTCTGATATTGACTCAACTTTGCAACGTGTTCTTCATTCCCAACATGATGCAAAATCCCATCAACTCAGGATTCTAGAGTGGGAATCTATGGATTCCTAATAAAGTAAGTAATTTGGGACAAGTCCCTTCTCTTTGACATTGAGATAGGCAATGACTCTTTAGAAGAAGCTTTGTGGTTTGGTCAAAAGGGCACTTGATTTGGAGTCAGACAGCCTGGTTTTGAATCCTGGCTCTGTCATTTAGAACCTACATGGCATTGGCCAACTAATTTTCCTTCTCTGTGCCTCAGTTTCCATATGTAAAATGAGAGAATTGAATTAGGTGATCTCTAAGAACTTTTAAAAGTAGACTGAAGGCATCCCATAAGTATTAATTGATACTGGTGACAGAAGGTAAGTCAGCTAGAGAGCTATCATTAGGCTTAATACTCAATTATCCTAATAAAAGTTCCAGGCTTCAGCACCTCTGAATATGGGACTCATATCCCATTATTCCTTCCTTAGAAGTTCTTTAAAATGGAATGGATTGATATCTGTGTGGGCTGATTTAGATAAATGCCTGCTTGTGGATACAGGATGGACAAGATGGCTTGTCAAGATCCTCATGTATTTTGTTTGGTGACTTGTAGGGTTCAACTAAATTCCTTCTAGCTTTAGCCTTTTCTGATTCTAGGATTCTACTTAAGGTGAGAAGAAAAGGGCAGTGACAGATGAAAGTTAGAACCCAGGTGTCCCCACTTTTATTTAACCACCAGGTGGCACTCTCTGCTCTTGAAGGCTCAATCAAGAGGCAGGCTTCATGGACTTCATGTCCTACTCAAACCTTCACTTGGCTTGATTCCTGGAGCCTAAGGTCAGAAATAGGGCTCTTATTTTTCATGTGCATGAGAATCCCAGGGAACGGACACTATGCTTTCTCTCTATTAGATCATTTCTAACCATTTTCCCCATACATCTTAGGGTCCTCTGCTAAGATCTAATGGAAAGAACATTAGATTTGGAATCAGAAGACTTCCTTTTTAATTCTAGCTCTGTGTGACTCTGAGCACTCACTTTGGGCTTCAGTTTCATTGCTTATAAAAGGAGGGGGTTGGACTAAGTGATTTCTAAAGTCCAAGCTCTAGTTCCCATGATCCTTTTTCCTTGTGCAGCACCATGGGAGAATCAAGCTTAGGACAGTCTCTTTATTGGCCTTGAAGGGGTTCCAGAGCTTAAATGAGACCTTAATACATCTCTCCTTCCTGTGGCCTCATGGCTTGCCAGTTCACCATAGCTTCTAGCACCCCTCAGTGCAAATAGAAGTGTAGAAAATTGAGCTGGTGGTCACCAAGTAGGTCCCAACTTGGGGAGCCTGGGAAATTGAAACCTAGTTCCCAAGGGTATCATACCAGTTCAGGATGTTCTTCCCAGAGGAATGGGTCAATTATAGGCAGCTAGGTGGCACAGTGGGTAACGCATTGAATTTGAAGTCAGGATGATCTGAGTTTGAGGCCTGCCTCAGATACTTATTAGCTGTGTGATCCTGAACAAGTCACTTAACCACTGTTTACTTCAGTTCCCTCACCTGTAAAGTAGGGTTAATAATAGCAGCTACCTCCCAAGCTTGTTGGGGGGATTAAATGAGATAATATTTGGAAAGTGTTTTGCAAACCTGAAAGTACTCATGTTAGCCATTATAATCTGAGAAGGTATGTGACTTAATGGGGAGAACGCCAACCTGGAAGTAAAGTGTTTGGGTTCTGGGTCTAGATCTCCTGTTGATATTAGGTAAGCCATTTCCTCATTGATGCAGCTCTGGTTTTCCTATTTAGGTCAGTAAGATCACAGAATTGAAAGGAACCTTGGAAATCTTTAAGTCTACTCACTCACCCCCTCATTTTATAGAGGAAAACTCTGTTGAAAAGATAATGTTTCCTGCTGCTTTCTCTGCTCATGGGCTACAAGGGTAATGGTAGGAAGGAGCACAAGTAGGCTTCTTAGAGGAAATATGAAGAACACTGATTACCTGAGATGCCAGGCCAGGTCCAGTCTGTGGGAGGAGGAAGCTGCTTTGTTGCTGAGGAAACGGGAGAAGATTTGACTGTAGACCTGAGGGAAAAGAGAGAGGGAGAAACATGGTAAGGATAGGAGAGAGAGACTGAAACATGTACTTTGTGAGTTCTAAAGCAAGGTTGATATCACCTGTCTCATACCAGATCCCTTAGTGCATTCCACACCCCATGGAGAGACTGCCCCGAGTGCTACCAGGCATTGATTGCCACATGAAGGCGGTGGTAAATTGATGAATCAGACAAGGGGACAAACAGGGATGGGAGCAGCAGTCCCCAAACCAGTCCTTCTGCTAGGCAGGGAGAGGTGTGCATAAGAGTGAGGGAGGGCCAAGTTGATAGCTCTGGGAGGTATAAACAAGATGGGAATCAGATAACTTGTAGACTGTTCATGAAGAAACCTAAGAAGGGAGGAGGCCTGAGGGCCCAGTCCTAGGGGTTTCTTCTGAGAATTCAAATGGGAGCCTAGGGATTTTGGTTTATTTCCACAAGAAAACACAAGTGGACTAGCTATGAAAATGCTGGCTGGGCTGCAGGAAGCCTCTAAGCCTACACCTAATTGGTCCCTTGTATCACATCCTGAATGATAAACGTCATTTCATGCTCCTCTTTTTCCCTTTCCCTTCTAATGAAATTAACTAGGAGGGGGCCATTCTGACAACAGTGTTTTGGGATCCAGTCTGATCCAGAGAATTGAAGCAATGGTCTCCTGTGGCCCACTTCAGGAATAGGGCCATCAAAGCCAAAATGTATCTCTGTCAATTGTCACAGGATCCTATTTAGAGTTGGAAGGAAATCTTGAAGTCATATAGTCTAATTTTTTTTATTTGCCACATATAGAAGCCCAGACCCAGGAAGATTGATGAAGCATTCATTAGGTGCCTACTTCTACATGCCCAGCAAGCAGCAACGTGGCATAGTGGATAAGGAGCTGGTTTAGGAGCCAATAAGAACTCAATTCAGATCTTGACTGCTACATATGTGCTGTGTCACCCTTAGCAAGTCACTTAACCTCAGTGGTATAGGCCAAGGATGGCAGCATGAAGCCTGCAACACTCCCAGAATGAGGCCTTATAAGTAAAATGTAATTGGGAAGTACTTAACAAAATAAATAAAAATACAATAGATAATATGTGGTTTTCTAAGTCACTAAGCCTCCACAGTATGTATGGTTTTCTATTTGAGTTTGACACTATTGGTCTAGGAAACTCCCTAAGAAGGTAAATTACACCTGCCTTGGTAGAGAACACTTGATTTCATGAGTATTCCTTATACCAGTGAACTGACAGGTTGGGTCCCTTTAACCCCTATCCACTATGTGCCAGGCACTGAGTTAAGCACTGGTGAAGTGGTTTGTGTGACTCCAATTATTCTACAGAGGATGGTACCAGTGGTTGTCCTCGCTCTCTACACTAAGCAGAAAATCTGTTGCTACTCTAAAAACAAAAAGGTAGGTGAAAATCACAAGACGCAAGCAGTCCAGAGGGCCAGTCTCACAGCTGCTCCTGAACTGGGGGGGTGGGGGGGCCTTCTCCAGTCCTGTTCCCCCATCCTCAGAAAGAACAAAAACTAGCCGTCCCTGCCTATCTCAGCAAAGGGATGAGGAATAGCTAAATAAACTCATGAAAGGAAGGTTCAGGGCATTGTCATTTTTATCAGAAACTTGGAAACTGAGTCTAGCTGGTACCCTCCTGACAGGTGTGAGGAACCAAAGGGAAGGATGAGTGAATACTTTTTTCTTTGATTCTGGTTTCCCACACAGTCCCTTGCATTTTCAGGAAGTGAAGGTAGAGATAGGGGGCAAGGGAGTAGTCAGAATATATTTATGGGATGGTTCTTTGCCTGTGTGCTTTCTGGCCACCCAGTGTGGGAGGAGGAGTGTGAATGGGTGGAGGAGAAAGAGAGGGATCCAGGAAGCGAGAAGGCTGGACACAATGCTCCGGAGCATTCTTCCAAACTCCCCAGGACAATCAAGTGTGGCAGCATACTTCACCCACCGCAGACGTCGGGGAAGACCTCCATGCTGCCCCTGGGTGGCACCATTGCTCTGCCCAAACAGAACCATAGTCATTCACCCCACCCCACCACCCTCCCAGCTTGGGGCAGTAAGGCTTGGAACAGCCTTCCCTCCCACTATAGCCACAAGGAGGTCAAGATAGATTTCCACAGAACTGGGATTTCCTGGTGCTACAGTTGCTGGTCTGCTCTTGGAGAGGCTTCTCTTCGCCCCTGGGGCTGAGGCCTGGAGAGAAGAGAGATTGAAACCGATCTGGCAGAAAATTGGGAGTCGGGAGCAGAAGAGAACAGTCAGAATGAGGAATCCTTTCTTTCTTTTTTTTTAAATTTTTTTTCTTTTTAGGCAATTAGGGTTAAGTGACTTGCCCATGGTCACACAGCCAGCAAGCATCAAGTGTTTGGTCTGAGGCTGGACTCAGGTCCTCCTGACTTCAGGGCCAGTGCTCTATCCACTGTGCCACCTAGCTGCCCTCAGGAGCCTTTTCCTGGGAACCTGCTGTGCTCCTCACTGAGGGGCTGGCTAACAAGTGGGCACTCCACAAATATTTGTCCCTGGTTTGATAAAACGGTATTTAGGTTCAGGGAGAGAACCTCAGGGCATCTTACCTTGTTGCCCAGACTGCGACTGAGACAGCAGGAACTGTGACACGGACTGCAGGTGGCTGGGAACCAGGACAAGTTGCTGGAGAGGATGGAGGGAAGCCATGTCCTATGTGTGGGGAGACATAGTTTACAGAACGTATGAGCTGGGGTCAATTGGCACATCCACCTACATCTAATCTCTAGCATAAATACTCTTTTCTCTCCCTAGTGCTTAATCACACAGATCCTTGTGAAACTTTTTGTGCAGTTCACCTCTGTTATTTGCGTTGTCATTTACTTTTTAAAAAATGGGTATTAGGTTTATATGCCTAAACTCCATTATGCTCGCTGAGGGCACTGGAAGCTCAGAAGCATTCCCAGACATCTAAACTGATTTAACCCGAGTCCAATGATCAGGCCAGAAGCCTTGTTAGGAGTAGTCATATGAGATTAAATCTAGTGATGAGTAGCAATTTGGGGACATTAACTTTGGCTAGATCACAGATCTGGGGCTGGGGAACTCATTAAAAACAACAACACATTTTGATCATTGCATTTCAATATGATTTCAATGTCTTTCAATATCTCCTTTGTAGTCTTGTATATTTTATTTTATGCATTTAAAAACATTATTCTGACAAGAAGTCAATAGGCTTCATTAGACTGCCCCACAAAAAAGAAAGAAAGATTTAAAACCCTGGACTAAATAGATAACGGAATCCCATCAAATCACCCAAGAACAGCATGTTGTACTGGAAAGCATTCTGAATTTGAAGTCAAAGGACTCTAGTTCAAATTCTAGCTCTTCTACGTACTACTTGGGTGACACTACTCAAGTTACTTATTATTTGGGTCTCAGTTTCCTTGTCTGTCAAATGACGGTGTAGATGATCACTAAAGTATCTTTCCAGTTCTAATCCTTAGATTTCTTTAAATAGGTCTCAGTAATGAGTTATTGGCCTAGATCAGATAGATATTTTTCTCTATGGTCTCCTATCCAACTTGCCATAGGATATTTGGGAAGCTCAGTGAATCTAGGGCTTCTCTGGTGCCATGTTAGCTCCCACAGAACATAGCAGGGTGCTGTGCCTATAATCAAGTGTTCAATAAATATCTGTTTAACAAACAAATGAAAGGCCTCCAGGAAAGGAGACTCCTATCTCCTCAAGTCACCAATTCAAAGAATAGTACATTCCCTTCATCTCTGTCTTGTCCTCTCCCAACTTAAGAGTTAATTCCGAGTTATGCTATGACTCTGACTTAAAACCATAACAGGAAGGAAGCCACTGGGAATGTCAGATCACGCAGAAGTAACCCTTGATGGACGTTGATGGCAGGCCCTCCTGAAGACATGGGCATTTCTGAAATGGTCTTTCATTTAGCATCTTTGGCTTTAAAATTTCCAAGAGAACCAGCATACTTCCTCCCCAGCTTCTTAACCATGCTGATTCTTTGAAAAATATCCTTCTCTCTCAATTTTCTAACCCCTTCCTACAGCTTATTGCTTGGTTCTTCAGACAAAGTATGGCTTGACTTTGAAGGGAGTGGGTCACTAGATGCCAGGCTCTGACTTCAAGTCCCCTCTGAGGAATGCCACCTTCCCATTGAGAAGATCCAGGCTTCCTGAAACTGGCTGATAGTTACCCCAGGCATCTGGTTTCCTGACATCATGGCAGGTCCTTGAGACAGGTGGCAGGGCCTGTGCGATAGTGGTGGCTGCAAAGAATCACTGAGATCTTCAGTTTTGATCTGCAAGAAGAAATAGGAGAAGAGTTAAAGTAAACTTCTTCCAAAGGGTGAGGTCTGGAGTAAGCCAAGAAGGGGTGGGGGAGGAGAAAAGTAGAAAGTTATCAGGCTTTGCAAATACCTACTTGCTTCGCTACTCTGAAAAAAGTACAATGAGCACTTGGTATGTGGCAAATTACCTTGCTTTGACTGTCTTTCCTACCTTATGCAGGCAGGTAGAATGTTAAGAGAGTCAGACTTGGAGTGGATAGAGAGCTAGAGTTAGAGAAAAGAATACCTGTATTCATATCCCTCTGATGCTATCTGTGTGACCATGTTGTCTCTTCTACAAACTATAAGCTTCTTGAGGGCAAGACAATTTCATTTTTTTTTGTTTGTAGATCTAGCACAGTTCCTAGAGCAAAGTATCTAGCTTGTTGATTTATTTTTTAAAGATTGTGTCTGGGGGCAGCTAGATGGCGCAGTGGATAGAGCACTGGCCCTGGATTCAGGAGGACCTGAGTTCAAATCTGACATCAGACACATAACACATACTAGCTGTGTGACCCTGGGCAAGTCACTTAACCCCATTGCCTAGCCAAAAGAAACCCCCTCCCCCCCAAAAAAAAATTGTGTCTGCCTATCTTGCCCAGGCTGGGAATGTAGCAACTACTCACGGTCTGACCCCAAAGCTGCCCTTCACAAGCTTTGACCTGCTCCATTTTATACCTGGGCCAGTTTGTCTCTTCATCAGCCTGATAGCTCCTGGCTCAGAAGAGCCGACCAATACTCACTCACAAAAGTACTGGTGCCAGAATTAGGGTGGACTTCCACTCAGCTTTAGTAGTAGTACGACTCAGAACTCCCCAACTCAAGTGATCCACCAACCTCAGCCTCCTCCAGTAGCAGGGTCTATAAGCACGGGCCAGGAGGCCTAGTTTGTTGATGATTGCTTGATTAATCAAAGACAAATCACTTAATCTCTCTCAGCCTCAGTTTCTTTTTTTTATTTTTGGAGGGGAGGAGGGGAAACAACCCCAACCACCTTTATTGTTACTACTTTTACCATCAAGTCAGACAAAGGAGCTGATCCCAGGCTTGGGGCCAGGGGGCTCCACAGCCCTGTCAGGCATGGTATTGCAAATTGGCTTTCTTCTTGGCCTGAACCTGCAGGATGCCCTCCGTGTAGTCTTCACTGGTGAATTCAGTCCCCCCACCCCACGTCAAAGCACAAGCATCCCTGCTTCCACACACACAGCCTGGGACTAGCCCCCATTGAAGTCAGTGGTGCAGAGAGCCAGCTCCTCGTAGTTCAAGTCAGGGCTCACATTCGTCTTTCCAGAATGGATTGACATGATCTTGGCTCTGGCTTCTTCACTGGGCATTGGGAACTCAATCTTTCAGCCCAGACAACCAGAGTGCAGCAAGGTGGGGTCCAGGATGTCCACCCTGTTTGTAGCAGCAATCACCTTGACTTGGGTGTTAGGCTGAAATCCATCCAGCTGATTCAGAAGTTCCAGCATTGTTCTCTGAACTTGATCCCGTGCTTTCTTACTGTCAAAGTGCTGGATTCCAATGGCATCTGGTTCATCAGTGAAGATAATGGAGGGAGCTTTCCCTTTAGCCAATGTAAAGGCATCTTGGACAAGCTTTGCTCCACCCCAATGAACATCTGTACCAGATAGGGGCCAGCCAATTTCAGGTGACCTTGGTCTGGGTGGCATATGCTCAAGCTAGCAGGGTTTTTCCAGTACCTGGGAGTCCATACATCAGTACTCCCTTTGGAGGCTGGATCCCCAAATTCTCAAATTTCTCTTTATGTTCAGCCTCAGTTTCTTTATTGGGTAAAAGGAGATACCAATACTGGTAAACCCTCTCTCAAATGAGGTGGTATGTAAAGCCACATATAAATCATTATTGTTACCTGTTTGGGCTTCCCTCAGGCTAGGCAAGCCTATAGTATAAGTAAGGGGGCTATAACACTGTGAGTACTTGTTTACAAGGTAAAGGCACATGGCTGAGACTCCACCACCTCCACCCCAAGGATTCACTTTTGATATGCAAGGTGTATTGTAGATAAGGAGTTTGTGTTTAGTTACATTTCTCAGTGTCCCTCCCCTCTCCAGCTTCCTTTCCCTCCCCTTCCATCCCCAGCCCCCCAGCTTTTCGAGTTTTCTGCCTCCAAATTTACCTTCCATCTACTCTGTATACATACTCTGCACATATCTGGTATGTAGCTATTTATTTACACATCTCTCTCTCTCTCTCTCCCATTAGAATGTAAGCTCCTTGAGGGCAAGGACTGTCTTATGCTTTTTGTGGGATCCCCAGTGCCTCAGAACTATTTAAAACTTAGTGAATGCTGGTTAATCCATTGATTGTGCAGGTAAGAGTAGATGACTTGTGAAGCTCCCTTCTGATTCTGATGTTCTGCAATCCCGTGATGCTGTTATTTCCACTGCTGTTGCCCTTCACATATGAAGCTGCCACTACAACCCAGGGAGTTTGGTGACAATCTCTATCATTCTATCCCGCCACCCCCTTGGCCCCCTCCACCCCATTGCCTATTTGCAGGCATCAGTGTATCTACTGACTTAACAGCAAGTACCCCAGCAGGGCCCAAAAAGGTCTTTTTTTTGTTTCTTGATCCCACCTCCAATCCTCACCCTACAGTCAATATGACAGATTGGCTCCTAGGGAGTCTATCTCCTCATCCCATCAGAATAAGTTAGCCATGCTGCCTCTTTAATGGCCATCCACAGAATCAGCTTGTAAAGGCCTGTTCAGAACACCACTCTTCCAGTTTGTTGTGTGGTCCTCTAGCACTCTGGGCTAGACCTGGGGACCTAGTATGTCTTTTTTTTTTTATTAATTAATTTATTTTTAGTTTTCAACAATCACTTCCATAAGCTTTTGAGTTTTAAATTTTTCTCTCCCTCTCTCCCCACTTCCTTCCCCAAGATGTCATGCAATCTGATCCCAGTATGTCTTGAAACTGGCTTTTGAGTCCATATAGGGAAATAGGGTGTTAGTTCTCCCTTGCCTTTCCCAGTAATTATTTTGTCTTTATTTTCTGTTTATTCATCTATGTTCATGCTAATTCTCCTTAACAGAACGTGAAATCTTGGAAGACAGGGACTATTTCAATTTGCCTTTGTATCTCCAGAACCTAGTACAATTCCTGGTCCATAGTAGATGCTTAATATATGTGTGTTGAAAGCATGAATGGATGAAGATATCTTAAAAATAAAAAGAGTACCTTGACATACTTCTAAGTATGTCATTATTAATATTTAATAAGTATTATTTACATTTCTCCATCACTTTCTTAAGTCTAAACAATCAACAAAATGACAAATGGATACCTAATTTGTAGCATTTGCCATGTGAATACTCACACTGAAAATTTAATAATGGTGCTCCTGGGAGCCCATGGGCTGGCTCCAGTATACCTGTCTCCCTATACAGACACACACACACACACACACACACACACACACACCCCTTTCCATTCTTCTTGCACTTTACTTCCCCTCCATCCTCTTCTCTCCCCTCCCCCAATATACTCTTTGATCCAGGGACATTGTTCCTTGGAGAGGACACTACATCACTTGACTCTGGGCATTTTCACCAACCATCCTCCATGCCTGCAATTCTCTCTTTCTCCTCATCTGTGCCTCCTCACTTCACCAGTTTCCTTCAAGTGTGAGCCAAAATCTCACCTTCTACACAAAGCCCTTCCAGATCCCCCTTAATGTTGGTGCCTTCCTTCCGTTGATCACCTCCAATTTTTTCCTGTATATAGCTTGTTTGTTTCTAGTTGTTTACATGCTGGTTAGAATGTGAGGTCCTGGAGAGGAGGATTATCTTTTGCCTTTCTTTGTATTCCCAGTGCTTAGAACAGTAGACTCTTAACAAATGTTTATCGACTGATTGACAACTTTGTCATTGATTAAGCACTTTCTGTATGCTAAGCATTCTCAGCATAGCTATATAGTTTAGGTGCAGTCAGATAAAATATGTTGTTCACTTCCCCTCCCTTCCCAACGGAGCTTATACTAGATATTCTTGTGTGAATAAGATTGTGCTAGGGCCAAGGCTGTTTTCACTAAAACGAAACACACTTTGGCCGGAGAGACATGAGGATCTACCAAGTGACTTGAGTGTCTGAGAAGTGAATTACAGAGGTTCAAATTTCCCATTGTTTCCAGCCTAGCACAATAAAACTGGACTGGGAATTAGTACACCTGAGATCTAGTCCCAACTTTGCCACAGACTAGCTATGTACTCTTAGGTAAGTTAATTAACTTTTTAAGGCCTCAGTTTTCTTCAATAACTCCCATAGACTGTTAGAGATGGGAGTTTAGGTATCATCTAATCTACCCAACCCCTCCCTTCTTTATTCTGATGAGGAAATTGAGGTGCAGAGAGGTAAAAGAGTTACTCAAAGTCATACATCAAGGTCTAGGGTCCCTTCCTGCTAAAATTCTATGATCCTACAATTGTTAAGGACTTTTCTAGTGTTAATATTCTTTTGTTCTGTGATTCCTTCCCATCAGCCTATGAAACACAGATGGTAATCCTTATGACATGAGAGATTGGGGGATTTGGTGAATGTGAGCTTTACCAGTGCTCTGGGGTTGTTGGGTAAAACTATAAAGTACAAAGGAGATCTGTTTTCACAGACAGCCTTTCTGGAATGGCCTTACTGATTTGCTTCTCTCTCTCCCTCTCCTCCTGCTTCAGCGGCCCACTCTTGGGACCTGCCAATAAGACTGGAGAACAGAGAACAGAGGATGAACCTCATCCAGAGGAGGAAAGGAAGGCCTCAGGAACCCATATGTTACTTTTTAGGTGTTGGCCCACTAAAAGAGTCTCTGAGACTCTTACCCAGTTGCTCCTTCACCTTTTCCACCCCCGCCTTGGATGGCACCATCATCCGATCAGCTCTGAGTAATTTCTAGGTGTCCTACTGTTGCCCCAAGAATTTTAGAGTTTTACACACCAAATTCCAAGAAGACATT